GCTTTTGTCTGCGGTTTCAGTGATGAATCGTGGCTTCGGTGAGCTGATTCCTGGCAGACATTGCACTATGCTTGGCCTGAACAATAATTACTGCCTATTTTTTTTTTAACTCACAAAAATCAAAGTATTGTGTAACTTTTCCACCTGCCTGAGGCTCCAGGTTATGAAAAGAAAAGGATGAATCATATGTAAGAATATAGCTTTGATGAAAAAGCCCCAATCACAACATGACACGATCAGTTCAGTAAGACCCATGATGTCTGTCTGACGGAGAAAGGACTATTTTTGGACTTCATGTAGCAGAAATACATCACAAAATATTCACAGGTATCTGTAAGAATATTCCCAGGTATTTGTGGTGTGGGCCCACTTGGAATCTTAGAAAGCTCAGTTCTGGATGCAGCCTGGTTTTTCATGTGTCCTTGTAGGATAGCAGTTTGTTTTCATAAGCAATGATCTTAGTGGGTCTTTAAAAATAATTTTAGAAAGTAGCAGTAATAGCTAACGTGTAAATAGTGCTTACTGTGCCAGGTACTGTTCGAAGCCCTTGACAAACACTGCAGCAAGCCTAGGGTGGTAAGTACTAAATGATTCCATTTTGCAGATGAGAAGAGGGATTCAGGAAGGCTGAATAACTTGTCCCAGATCAGAAAGCCAGAAAGGAGCAGAGCCTGGGTCCTGCGTACCAAAACCCCACATACCTGCCACTGTATTTGCCAAATGTTCATATTTTTCCTATTTGATTCAAGTTCTCTTATAACATGAAAGAAAGAAAACACCACACAGAAAGCAGCTGGTTACACTCTCATTCCTTGTCCCTGCCCTGTCCCACATGTGTGAGGCGTACCCTTTAGTTCCTTCTTCAGACACTCTTACATGCTTGTCCTGTATCTATGAACAATACAAAGTGTTGCTCTCATGTTTGAACACTTACATAAGTATCATCATACTCTCTACCCTTTGTGTCACTTGCTGTTTCTCCACTTCTACCAGGATGATTGTGAGCTCTGTCTGTACCCATCTCGCTACACCATCCAGTTAGGTAGCCTCCACCCATAGCTGGCTATTGAGCACTTGAAATGTGGCCAACTCAAGCAGAGACGTGCTGTCAGTGTCAAACACACACTGGATTTCAAAACCAATGTGAAAACCAGCAAACAGCTAACAGTCAATCATTTTTAATACTGGTCAATCATTTTTAATACTGATTACATGTTGAAATTATGACATTTTAGATATATTATGCTAAATAATTAATTTCACCTGTTTATTTTTATTTATTTTGTAGAAAGAGTCTCACTTTATTGCCCTCGGTAGAGTGCTGTGGCGTCACAGCTCACAGCAACCTCCTGGGCTTAGGCAATTCTCCTGCCTCAGCCTCCTGAGTAGCCAGGACTACAGGCACCCGCCACAACGCCCAGCTATTTTTTGTTGTTGCTGCAGTTTGGCCCGGGCTGGGTTTGAACCTGCCACCCTTGGTACATGGGGCCAGCACCCCACCCACTGAGCCACAGATGCTGCCTTTCACCTGTTTATTTTTTTAATTAGCTACTCAAAAACTGAAAGGATGTGTGTGGCTCAGATGCTCAGATGAATGGCTCATGTTATACTCCCAACAGGGGCCTCATTCCTCTTAACTGCTGTCTGGGTCTTATTAATTAATTGGAAGGAGGAAGCCCCAAATCTAGAAAATAAGAAGAATTAAATTGGTGAGCACAGATAGTACTAAGTGTTTTACATACAGCACTGTGAGGTTGCCTGGCCCCTTCAAGTGAGGTCAGTCAACTGGTCAACATCACGCAGTTTCAAAGAGGCTAAACTGGGACTGAACTCAGGCAGGCTGGCTCCAGAGCCTCACTTTGTAACCACTAACTGGACCAGACAAGGCCCTACATAGGAAACAGTAAATCTGCCTAAGAAAGCAATGACAATATAGCTTAACTTGGTGAAGTCTCTAACACGGTGGTTCTCAACCTTGCTAATGCCATAACCCTTTAATACAGTTCCTCATGTTGTGGACCCCCAACCATTTTCCTTGGGGGAAAATAAATTAACAAAAATAATTTTATGGTTGGGGGTCAGCACAACATGAGGAACTGTATTAAAGGGTCATGACATTAGGAAGGTTGAGAACCACTGCTCTGACACATGAAGTTTGACAATTAATTCAAGAACTTGCCAAATAACATAGTAAGGTTTTATAACCTTGGTGTATCAGTGTCTCACAGCTGTGTTTGTGGTGACATGTGGCTTGGTTATATCAATGTCTTGCTGAGTGGTGTTCATTATTGTTGTGTGTTTTCTAATAGCCATTCCAGAAAAAGAGTTCCAAAATTGCTCTGAAGGATAGACTAGGCACTGGCATTTGTGCATAGCTTCCCAAGGGGAGTACTTGGGGACCGTAGTGATATTCATCAATGAGATAGGTAGCACTTTTTCTAAGATGAGTTTGCAAACTTAATTGTCAGAACTTGTATATTTTCTGTACACATCAATGGAGCCTTTTTTGACTTTTAACAGTGCAGTTATAAACAGACACACATTTGTTGTGGTGATTTCAGCTTTAATGAAACCAGCACAGGCAATATTTTCTGACACCCACTTTGCAATGTTAAAGTCAGCCTTACTGTTTGCCACTAATTGTACTTGCCACTATTTTTAGGGCAAATTGTCAATGTACCGTACTTCTTAATGCTTCCTACATTTCAATTTTTTTTCTTTAGCTATATCTATTTATACCTGAAGTGGTTTCTTTTCCCTAAGAGAAGGCCTCATTATTCTGCCAACAATAAAGTTGGGGATTTTAATTAAAGTTATAGAACACACTGGGGGCGGGGGAGATAACAGGCAATTGCCATAGGGATATTGTTGATAAATATTGGATTGCTCTTTGAATTCTGAATAAAAACCTACCGTAATATTGTGAATCATAAAGTTACAGAACTGATAGGGATTTCAAAGTATCCTTAGTGTTGTTTAAGACCACAGACTTGGGGAGGGGGGAATGGGTGGAGGGAGGGGGTTTGGAGGGATCACTTCTGAGGTTTATCTTACAAGGGTACAAGTGAATCTTTCTAAGAGTAGAATGTGAATGTTTTAAAACAATAACTGAGAAAATGACATGAAGGCTGTGTTGACCAGTTTGATGGAAGTATTTCGGATTGCATGTGCAAACCCCACACTGTACCCCAGAAGTGCATTAATGTACATAGTTACCATTCAATAAAAAAAAAAAAAAAAGACCACAGACTTGGTGTCAGGTAAAATGTGTGACCCTGGGGCCAGTATCTTAACCATTGTAATCCTCAGTTTCCTCATCTTAATGGGAATTCTAATATCCATTTTCTAGAGTTGTTTTGTGAATTCAATGAGATAGTGACTGTAACTCTGTTCTTTGTATCGACTATTCTTCCGTGGTAGTGTGGTAGTTAACTATAATTATTACTATGACACCATCATTCCTTCTCCAGGTGATTCCAAGGGTGGACAGTCTCTCCAAGCACCTCTGGCACTATTCCAATAGGCCTTCTCCTCCATTCTCTAGCAGGACTCTTGAACTCTTCCTTTAAGTGGAGAGGTCCATAGTTAAAAGGCAGAAAATACTGCATCCCCTCCCTCGGTTTGCTCTCCATCTGGGGAGTACAGGGCAATTCTTGCTGAAGAGAGCCGTGCCAAGGCCCACTACTACAGTGGACCCTCCAACATTCACTTCCCTCTCCCACCCTGCTACCCAGGGGTCTGCTCAGCATGCCTCTCTCAACTCACCTGAAAATATCAGCACAGCTGCTATCCCTGGGATCCCTGCTTTCCCCTGCCCTGTGTGCATCTGTTGATCTTGCTACCTAAAGGTGGACTTTCTCCTCTTTACTTCTGCTCATGGTGCTGTACTAAACAAGAACCCACCAGCTCTGCCAGGTGACAGCTTTCCTAGATCATGTCCCCTATTCCCTAAGTAAGTTTAGGGTGGGTGTCCCCATTGCCAGAAATTTATTACACAACCCTCATGTCATAATTGTTTTGAAAAGCATAATCACAAACTCCCTTTTTTGGCCTGGGTCCAAAGTGACTTTTCAGGCTCAGCCACGTATGTGAAGTTACAACACAGTTTAGGCTCTGCCATGACCCTGAACTAAATGAGATTTTAGAAGTGAGGAAACTGAGACCTAGGTGCTTAAGGAACTAGTCCAAACTAGTTGTATGGAGAACAACTGAAGTTGGCCTTCTTGTAGGATATGGTATTCATTCTTGGAACAAATCCCTTCTATATTGCATTGAAAATGAGAACCTCTTCCCCACCAACCACACACACACATTTAGCCCAGCACCTGCCATCCCGCAGATACAGACTAAATGTTTACTGAGTTTAGTTTAATTATTAACTCCTCCCTCTACAGCTGGGAGCAACTTGGAGGGACAGTGTCCCTGGGGCTCAGCACCAGGTCTCATACTAGGGGCTCTCTGACGTTTGCTGCTCTCCTCTCGAAAGCCTGCGTGCCGCAGTAGCTGCAGGTCCTCAGCGTCTGGATTCTCAGCGAACGGGGAGCCCAAGCCTCACTCACACAGGCGCGCGGGAAGCGCAGTCCACGCTCCCGCAGCCCAGGGAGTTCTCAGCCAGACTTCGGCGGTCTGGGCCAAGCTGCGCCTTATTTATTTCAAGACTTCCCTGTTAGTTGCTGTGGGGCCTTTTTCGTCAATGAATAGGAATAAGAAGACATTTCCGAAATAAATATCTGATTTCTCACTATTTAATAATCTAATCTTGACTCACAACCAAATCCAGGCCACACCAACCCACCCACGGGCCCATTACCTAGCAACAGCATGCCCCAACCGCGCCCTAGTCCCGAGTTTTTGCCCCGCCCCGTGCCCAGTGCGCACGCTCAGAGCCTTTACCTGGGTCCCACCCCACCGCCGGCGCGCGGTGGTGACGTTAAGTCAGCGACACATTTGGCTAGTCGACCCATGGGGGCCTGCTTGATTTGACTACTTGACAGAGCCTGCCATGGCTTCCGCTGGGGTGGCCGCCGGGCGACAAGCCGAAGACGCTTTACCGCCGTCGTCCGAGCCGCCGCCTGACACCAAGTCGCTGCCGCCTCCTCAGCCGCCGCCACCAGTTGCTGCCCCTCAACCGCAGCAGTCGCCGGCGCCCCGGCCTCAGTCACCCGCCCTCGTGAGGGAAGAAGAGAATTACTCCTTTTTACCTTTGGTTCACAACATAATCAAATGGTAAGTGCCTGAGAGAGGACCAGTCACCGTACTCCCTCTCTCGCTTCCCGTCTTATCCGTTTCAGAGCTGCCTAGAGGCCTGGCCAGCCTGGGGTACGCCCCCATTTCACAGATGTGAAGACTGAGACCCAGAGGGATAGAGGCCTTTCCCAAAACCGCAGACACAGTGTGTAAGTTCAGCAAACGCTTTTGGGCCCTGAGTGTTGCGATATTCTTAAAAATGAAGCCAACTTAGAGATTCAGTGGACAGACTCTGTTGTCCAGTTGCTCAAGTGTGCATCCCTGAGCCTCAGTTTTCACACTTTGGTTCCTTTTTTCAGCAAATCACTGTTAAGTGCTATCGCACGTACACCGGGGAGCTAACACACACCCCTCCAAGCGCTAACCAGTTAGAATGGGAAAAAGACATAATCTGGAATAACCTATTATTCAGAGATTGAAAGAAATGGACTGGTGATATTGGAAAGAGACAGGGATACAGAAGTTCCCCCAAAGGCCTAGAGTCCCATGTACTAACTTTCTTCTAACATAGTATAATCTTAAAGGAAGTGGTTGTCATTTTGGCCTGCATTCAGGTTAGCCTGAATTTTCAAACAGATCCTATAAAAGGAAAAACAAAAACCCAAGCAGAAATCTCCCTGACCCCCGTTTGCCTTAATCATTTTTATTGTTATTTCCATATATAATTACATGATACTAGGTATAAAACCTCATGCTTGTAATTTTTTGTTTGTTGTTTGTTTGTTTGAGACAGAGGCTCCCTCTGTAGCCCTGGGTAGAGTGTAGTGGCATCATCACAGCTCACAGCAACCTCAAACACCTGAGCTCAAGTGATCCTTCTGCCTCAGCCTCCCAAGTAGCTGGGACTATAGGTGCCCGCCATGACTCGTGCCTAGTTTTTCTTTCTTTTTTTTGAGACAGAGTCTCACTGTGTCACCCTCAGTAAAGTGCCATGGTGTCACAGCTCACAGCAACCTCCAGCTGTTAGCCTCACTCGATTCTCTTGCCTCTGCCTCCCAAGTAGCTGGGACTACAGGCGGCTGCCACAGCAACTGGTTATTTTTTTGTTGTAGTTGTTGTGTAGCAGGCCCGGGCCTGGTTCAAATCCACCAGCCCCAATATATGTGGCTGGTGCCCTAAGCACTGAGCTACAGTGCCAAGCTGTAGTTTTTCTATTTTTAGTAGAGATGGGGTCTTTTGCTGAGGCTGGTCTCTTAACTCCTGAGCTCAAGGGATTCTCCTGCCTTAGCTTCCCAATCAAGTGATAGGATTACAGGTGTGAGCCACCACCCCAGGCCAGGGTTTATAATTCCTATTCAACAATTAAAAACCCAAACAAAGTAAATTAAAAGAAAATTACCATTCCAGTCACATTCAAGTGAACATTAATGTTCTCTTTGATGTTTTGCTGAAATGGAATTCCTACTCACAATACCAAAGTCTCGGCTCTTAATGGCCCAGCTTTTCAGTTTGGGTAAACTGGAATCCTGCTGCCCTGCTGCTGCTTTTCTCTTTAAATGACTGCAAAGCCTTTGTTCTCACATTACACCCTGACTTCATTTGGCTTCACTTGGTGTGAAAATACTGTTCCTAGAGTAAGGCTGACTCTGTTCTGGGTTCATTAGCCAGTGATAATAATCACAAACAAATGCAAATAGAGACTTTGCAATCCAGAGCTGTGCTTAATTTTAAAGGTTTTGACTCCAGTATACTGGTCTTAAGAAAAATGTGGAAAAATGAAAACAGGAAACATGCACATTCACAAAGATAAGTCTCGCGAGAGTATACTCTTGAGCCCTGATAGAGCACATAGTTGGTTTGGACTGGCCTTATAAACAGGACAGTAAATTATATTAGAACAGGCTTGGATAGTCCTGGGTTCAAATTTGTGTACTAAAACTCATTTGCCTTAAAAACTTGGTAAATACTTAACCTTTCCAACCTATAATCTTCTTGTCTCTAATATATTAATAATGGACCTCAAAAGATGGTTTAAATTATAGTTCTGTTAACATACTGGCTAGGTGACCTTAGCAAGTTAACATAGCTTCTCTTAGGCACTTTTTCTCTTATGAAATAGAAATAATAATACTTTAGGCATCGGATTGTTGGGAGATATACTCAAGAGCATACCTGTGAAAGAGTGTGTTAATCACATGTGCTTGTCTGTTCCCTCTGAGAGGGCTATGCAGGAATTTTTTTAAAAAATCAAAACTGAAGACTGGGTATGGTAGCTTACACCTATAATCCTAGCACTCTAGGAGGCCAAAACAGGAGGATCCCTTGAGTTTAGGTGTTGGAGACCAGCCAGAGCAAGAGTGAGACCCTATCTCTACTAAAAATAGAAAAATTAGCAAGCCAAGCACTTGGGATGCTGAGGCAAGAGGATAGAGTGAACCCAAGAGTTTGAGGTTGCAGTGAACTAAGATGACACCACTGCTCTCTAGCCTAGGGCGACAGAATGAAACTGTCTCAAGAAAAATATAAATGTAAATAAAACTTCTAAAAAAGAACGGTGCCAACAATGAATCTTAAATTAAGAAAAGGAGGAGTGAGGAAGGATGCTATAGGAACAACAGGGGGAAGGCCATGGAGCATCAACTCATGAGGTCAACTCTCAGCTTGGTGGTGCTGAGCATAAATCAAAGGTGTGAAGGAGACAGGAAGGGAAGGCTGGGGAGGAGGGAAAACACAGATACAAAGGGTAGCACTTCCTCTTGGGGAGGGATGGAGAATTAGTTAAACTCATAGGCTGGGGAGCCCATTAGGACAGTGTCCTGGCAGGCCTGGCAAGAGGAGATGAGGGCCGGGACCATGTTCAGTCCCCTGGAATGATTGTCCCAGGCCCTAGATATCTTCCTCTCCTGTAACTCCCCCTTCTTTTGTTTGTTTACCCCTTTCCTAAGAGATGAATGAAGAAGTAAAACCTGAAGTAGTGAATTCATCCTTTCTTGTTTTCATAAAGAATTCAGAATTCCCTGCCTCATTAAGTTTTAAAAAATATTATTTAATAAAAGTAGCCATTATAAATTCAGATGTAAAGCCAAGCATAAAATGGAAAGAGGGTTCTTGCCTTTCAGCTGGAGATGCCATCTTCTAGTAATTCACCAAAATGATAAACACAAAGGGAAAGAGGAGAGGTAACTGATACATGTTCTCTAGGCCTTTTAGAAAACACGGAGTCGGCTCGGCACCTGTGGCTCAAGCGGCTAAGGCGCCAGCCACATACACCTAAGGTGGCGGGTTCCAATCCCCTGCGGGCCCTCATCAAAAATTACCTTTTCGGCTCGGCTCGGAGCC